CCTCCCTCACCTCCCCGCTCCTTCTTCCCATATTTACTCAGGTGCACAAACCTCCATGTGACAATTCACACAAGCAGGCGACTCACAACTACTATTTACCCAGTGGAGCCACTTTTCCAAGCCTCTCGAGTTGTAGATTTGAATTTAAATGAGGAGTCTTAAATGCTTTCTGTTGTGCAACATCAATGTACCCCCCACCCCCACCCACCACCCCCTTTTCCCCTCCCTCTGTCTACCTCCTCTCCTTGCTTTGTTGTCAGCCTTGATGACAATAATTTTGGCTTTGGTGGAGCTCTTCACATACCAGCCTCTATAGTTCACACACTGTCCAGCGCGCAGGGTGGGGGGTGGCTGGAGGAGGGGTGGGGGGGTGTTAATCTGCTTTCCCTACGATTCCATGAAATAAGGTGACAAGTGAAAACCAGACTTAGACCGACCGAATCCACATTGTTCAGACCCAAATCCCTTTGGTAAAGTCGCATGACCCCTGATGACACCAACACCAAACCCCCGGTTCACGCTGTGATCTCAAAACGTGTGAGTGGAATGATAAATGAGAGATTTATCAATAAAGTCTGAGCTATCGGAGAGAGAGGGGGGGGGGGCATTTTAAAAATTCAAAGGACACGGGTTAAAGCAGTGCAGGGGGGGGGGGGGAGAAAAAATAAAAACATCTTTTTTTCCCTGGAAATCCTTTAAGTAAAGGCCTGAACATGAGCCATAATAAATAGGCTCAAAGTAGTGAGTTTTTGTATTGTTTCTGAGGGGAGTCTTGAGTGGTTTTCTGCTTGCAGAAAATTAAAAAAAATCTTGTTGATTTTATGCATCTTATTGCTGCAGAGAACCGAGCCGCCTTCCGTGGCATGCGTTAAAGCGCGCGGCCGTGGTTCCCTCCAGGGGTCGGTGTGGGGCGATGTAGGATCAAGGAATGAGCTCAGCATGCACAACACCCCGGTGCAATCAGGTTCAAACACCTTTTTTTATTTAAAGAAACTGCAGCATTTTAACAGCATTGACATGAAGCAACATTTGATTTGTCTCTGTCGTTTTGGACTCAATGGAATAAAAATAAGTTCTCTGCTTTTATGCGTTTCTTCCATTATGAAAAACTGAATCTAAAACAGAGTTTAAACATAACTTCCTGTCAGCTGCACTGATCCTCTCCTCCACCTTGCATCAGCACTGTGCCCTCTCTGGGGTTTTGTTGTACCTGCTTTCACAGAGCAGTGGATGTGCGCTTTGGACTCATAGTAGACCCAGTCGAACCCGGCCTCCACCGCCAGCCTGGACAGCGTTCCATATTTGCTCTTGTCCCTGTCTGAGGTGGTGATGTCCACTGCCCTGCCCTCGTAGTGAAGGGACTCCTCGAAGTGGTGTCCGTCCTCGTCCCAGCCCTCGGTGACCCGGAGCTTCACCCCGGGCCACTGGTTCATCACCGAGATGGCCAAAGAGTTCAGCTTGTCTTTGCATCTCTGCGGGAGGAAGGAAGGAAGGAGGAATGGGTCAGTGAGTGCGCACGAGAAATAAAAAGTCATACTGGAGCAGTTTTTGATGCCAGGCTAAATAACTTCCTCACTCTCTTTCTGTCACTTCAATATAAACCCATCTGTTTAACAATCAGAGATGCTATCTGGCCTCCATGAAGCCTCTCCATCCCCACCTGAATCCTCCCAGCTGTGCTGAAACGCCGCTCTGATCCTGAGCTTGCATTTCTCAGCGCGAGCAGCAGCGTCAGAGGGCACATCTCGGGTAAGAAAGCTTCTCATGAAATATTGACAAGGCACTGCATTCGCTTCACTGGCCCTATAACATATTTAGCCTCGAGAAGGTGCGAGCAGCATCTCTCTTCCTCCCTCTCTCACTGTCTCTGTCTGTTTTCTTTTTAAAAAAACGTGTTGCCTTAAGAATAACATTACTGCATTATACATGTTTGCTTTAAATAAATCCTTCGTAAGAAGATGATCCTCATGATATCTGACGTCTGTGCCACGGATAAAAGAACACCTCTCTGCGCTCCCAAATGAAGATGCTTGGCCTTCTCCAAGACAACTCTTCTCAATATGTCAAATAAAACACCACAATGAGGCTTTTCAGCTCGCCAAAGCGCAGGGGAGACTTTCATTACTCTCCTCCTGCAAAGTCCTGGAAACGTGACGTGCCTCCTTAAGTGGAGGTGTTTTGGCTGCTGACTGACAAGACCTGTGAAATGTCCCGGGGACTGCACAGAAGAGCTGCCCCCCACACTGCACCCACCACCCCCACCCAGCCATCAAACAAGAAGTTTCACACAGAAAACTCCCAAAGATTGCGCATCACCTGTTTTAGTGTGAACCGTGTAGAACAAGTTCAATTAAAAAACACAATAGAAGAGTAAAAAAAAAAACTCCACTGGTGGGAGTCAAGAGCCGTGAAGCCCGACCTGTTTATTAATTCATCAGGTCGTGTGCCGCAAATCAATCCAGATTCTGCTCAGCCACCGTGAAGCGCAGCGGGGCGCCTCGGCCCGGCGCTTTGTGCTCCGGGTGAAGTTGTTCAACAGCGCGCCTCTTAATCTTTTCACAAATGATTTGGTTAGAGGAAACACTTATCAGCTACCTGTCAGGGCAAACAAGCCGCCGCAGCTCAAATCTTTTCCGACTCGTTTGCAATGATGTGGGAAGAGAGACTGCAGATGTTTCCTTTCCCAAAACAAATACACCTGTTAGGCTGCAAAATACTTTTTTATTTAGTTTAAGCTTTTTCTTTTGGATACCTTAAAATCTTGATCATATTTTGATTTTATGAAATACTCATTGGTTAAATAAAAGAGATACACACTTTTATCTCATGCTAAAAAAAAGTGGCCCCATAACTTCTTGGAAATGATCTGTAAAAAGTCTAATCGGCAGCATCTCTGTTCGTTTCCGCGCCTGCAGCAGTGAAGGAGACCCTCCTCCGAGCGCGCATCCTTCAAGTCCTGCAGTTCTGGCTCAACTTCAGTGAGCTGCTTCCTTAACTCGTTTATTGCTCACATCCAGACAAAACTACTGCAGGCACGTGCCTCATCTCATGTCCAACATCTCKTTTTTTTCTTCCCCGGAACCCGCATAACGAGTCGGTAGCGTCCGTGCGTAAAAAGTCATGCGTAAAAAGCCCGCTRGATTCAAGCGCAAAACCGCGGAACCGAGTCAACAAGGCTGGCACAGCCTAAATCCCCATGTGGTGAGGCTGTTACTCACRGCCACACTCACTCTGCTCGAGCTGCTTCAGTTTGATCACTTCTTGATTTGATTWAAAAAGCGATATCGAATCTGTTTGACTTAACAAAACCCAAAAGATGAACGGATGTTTTTAGGGATCAAGGCATTCTTACGAGCTGTTCCACTTCATATACAGACTTAGTTGTGATGTTAGCTGAATTTTCTTGATGGTCAAATAAATATACAAAAGAAAAATGAAAATTATGTGTATGGGGGGGGGGGCACAAAGTTAAAGAAGCATGAATAAAAACTGTTTTGTCACCTATTATTTCTCCCACCTTTCATTTTTGCTTTGACTGGCCACACGGAAGTTAAATATTTGATGACGACATTGCTTAAAGAGTTATTACTTGTAGTTAGAGTGGGGGGAAACCCCTCCAACACTTCTTCCCAGACCACCGATTTCCTGATGTTTGAGAACATATAGGTGCCTGTGAGAGGAGGAGGAGGAGGAGGGGGGGGGTGCGGGGAGGGCTGAGAACCACACGGACGCGGTGAATATTTCATCGGAGCTCCTGCGCATGCATAGCGCGTGGTTCAGCGACTCCAGAGCGCGCGCGCGCCTGCCTGCCTGCCTGCCTGCCTGATGGCTTCATCACCACCATCACAGGGCATTTTGTTCTCACTGAGCCAATATCAGCCAGGCGCGCGCGCTGCATAATTCACCAGGACCTGAGTGCTAAAAGTCACGCTGATGTAGGAGTCCTGCAGCCCGCACAGAAATCGAGGCAGTGTCTCTCCGCCTCATCTCCTTGGTGCTAAACGGGTTTAGGATGAAGATGGAAGATGTCAGCCTTCACGAAAGAGCGCTGCTCCTCTATCAGAGCGTCCAATTTATTTGAAGTCCTAATGGTGGTCAGGAACATCTCAAAGAAATGTCAGAGATGCACARTATGACCAGTCGCAATCTCTCCATCATGTGCGGGAAAAGAACAAAAAAAAATGTCTGAATGAACCTCGCCATGCCTGAATGAGCCCAGCTGGTAGAAGCGGTGCGCATCAGCAGCAATCATGGCTGGGACTGATAGGAGAAAGGCGCTCAAACCAGCTGCCAACGCAAATCTTAATTAGAAAGAAATACCAAAGTRTCCGTGAAACGAGGAGCCAAAAAGCAGGCTGTGCGAGGCTCTCAAATCGAGATACAAATATAGATATGAGGAGAATGGCACATGAATATTTTAAATACACTGTCACAATAATGAAGGCCGAGCGTCCTGACTGWCCGCCTGCACATCACTCCTCCAGCTGCAGCGCTCCGAGCCTGCAGCGCTGGAAAACTCCCCGCGCTGGCGCATAAAGTGCAGCTAAAAGGCTCAGTAGGAAGAGTTCAGCATGGGGGAGAACACACTTCACTTAAGGTGCGCAATCAGTCTGACAAGGAGGCTGTGCGCAGTGATGGTGCGTTAGGAGGAGAGGTGGGGGAGAAAAAWAAAAGATTCCGTCTCCTTACCTGAGTCATCATCCTGTCGGCACCGGTCTTCTCCTCATCCTTGAAGATGATGTCTGTGTTATAATTGGGCGTCAGCTCCTTAAATCGCTCGGAGTTTCTTGTGATCTTGCCTTCGTATCTGCCGCTCGCCCCGAGGGTTTTCTCCGCCACGTTGGGGATGAATTGCTTGTACGCGAGAGGTGTCAGCTTCTTCGGGTGTCTTCTCCTGCCGTACCCCCTGCCCGGTCCGCATCCCATCCCAAAGGACACCAAGGACAAGCAGATGAGACCGGCCAAAGCTATTCTGGTCCAGAGCAGCATTTTTTCCCTTCTTCTTCTTCTCCCTCCTCCTCTAAGATCTTAAGCGAGTCACTGCTGCTGTCTCAGCCGTCTGCCTGCGCCCCAAAAGGCTCTTGCAACGTCCTTGTCTCCTCTTCTACTTCGCCGTCGCCTGCTCTCTCTCTATCGCGGCAGGTGCGGAAATGAACGCCTCAGACGAATGCCAATACGGGGGCACATCGAAAAAAAAAAGCTGAGATAAAAGTAGTGAGGGGAATTAGAAAAGCCACGGGATGTGGAGTCGAGCTGCAGCTGCTTGTGTGAGCCGACCGCTTTTACTGCTTTGTATTATAGCACCGATCTATACAGCAGGGGAGGGACTTGATTGGCTCGCCTAGACAAACCCTCCTGATGTTATCCCACCAAAAAAAAAAAAAAAAATCTTGAAAGATTTCTTCCACCTTAGGGTTAGCCTCAGATGCAGGGAGGAGGGGCTCTTCCATGGGAAAACATCAATTATAAACCGTCTTTTCTCTCTTTTTCTTAACCCTCCCGTTTTCCAGCTTTCACAGGAGGAGGAACAGACAGGACAAGTTGAGCTCCAATCTGAGGTGAAGTGATTTCACTGCGTATGTGTGTGTGCGCGCGTGCGGCGCGTCCTATAGGGCTCCGCGCAGACTGCGTTTCCCAGGAGGGGGGAAAAAAACTGCCCCTGTGTGCGCACTGCGCATACCTGTGACGGATAATTTGGCAGCCATCCATGCTCACTAAAAATAAAACAATAAATGAAACAAAAACCAAAATAGCACGGGACTATAACAAAAAGAGGAAAATACAAAGAACTTCCTTTTGTCTTTCCGTGAAACCGCGCGCGCACAAACGCGCAAAACTTCCCAAGGGAGAAACTTGGACTTTTCCTCAGAAGTTGAAGCCTCAAGGTGTCCGAGCAAACACTTTGAATGTTGTTTTGAAACTAATCAGAATAGATCAAAAGCAAAAAAAGAATCCAAAACTAACTTGCAAAAGATGTTGTTTGCAGTGCGCTGTGCGCCCATGGATTTTACGCACAACAGCCACTGGAGAAACCCACGAAAATAAAGAAGACACAACTTTAGGGATTGTTGTCAATTCATGTATGTTACTTGTAAAGTTAATTACAATTCGAATATTTTTGCATGATGTGTAAAATGAGCTTCTATTTACTTCAAGAGCCCAGGATCATCCAAATACTGTCCTGTAACCTTTACTTTCTTAATTCCCTAATCTCTATCTTAACCATTTCATGGCTTTGGACTAGACATATTTGAGATTTTTGTTTGGTTATAACGAAGGTTCTACAAATTGTATTTTTCCTAGGTGATTTGAAAATTATTTTTTATTTCTTCAATCTTTATTTAACCAAGAAGTCCCTTGAGATATAATTTTTAAGGGAGACCTGGTCAAGATAGAACAGTACAGAAATGCAAAGTTCCAAGCAAAAATTGCAGTCAGTATTCAAAACATAAACATGAAACCAGCCAGGATGAACATAAAAGAGTACAAAGTCCAATTTGAGAATAGCACATGTCCCCCTCAGTTACAGAAACTTTGTTAGAGTTTTAAACTCTCTCAAATAGACAAAATCATTGATTTGATTTGAAGATGATTTCAGGACCAAAGTGCAAATGAAGAGAAAGCTGTTTTACCAAAACAACAGGAAAAGTTGTGGGAGCTCTGAAGCAGCTTTTATAAAGTCACCATAAGAAAAATGTAGCCCGAACAAGTTTTTTTCCCCTGCCTGATAAATTAGGAGACCTCGATTTGATTAAAAAAATCCCCATATTTCAAATCAACACTCTTTTTATTATGTGATTAAAAGCAAAAAGAACACATTGTTTGACAATCACTGGACAATTTATTTCACACTTAAAATACACATAAAGACAAAAACTGATTTTAAAAGTGGTTTRTCTGATAACAAAGAGTAACAAGTATAGACAGAGGGGTTGTTTAGGGGGCGACTTTAGCTCTCATCACACTGAGGTGAAGACATATATGCCAGCCTTTTGGTGTGGCTTTAGTCTCATTAAAGCTCACTCTGGCTGACCTCCAGTCTGGTGTTGTTCAAGCCTGTGCCAGGCTTGTGGCAACCAGAGGAGGTGGGACTACCTGCCGCTCACAGAGTTTCAGCTCTTGGCCAATAAATGGCTTGTGCACCTGGCACACTGTCCATAACTCCGAAAAAAAAACTTCCAGCGATGCCTTTCAGTCTACATTTTGCCTTATGTTCTTAAAAACTCCTAACATGTATTTCTTATACATTTTTCAACAGCCAGTCAAGCTCAGAATTGATGATGCTTACATGCCCTGCGGAACACCAGAGATTTCGTTCTCAAATCACAGTTAGAAATGTTTTGTGGAAGAGTCCTCAGAGGTGTCAAGATGAAACTGATATTACCTCTTCTTTAGAAAAAATCAGATAAAATGTGATGCAGAATGAAATGAATAATGCAGAAAAATCACGAATAATGCAGCCTAAAGAGCAAATATACTGCTGATGGGTTTGAACTTGAGTTTCTCCCACAGAGGAAACCAACTCAACCAGAGTATTTGCAAACATTACACTTCAGTGTTTGGTTTTGCTCTGTGCCAGCGCCAGATAGGTGGAGTTTTAAAACAAAAACCAAAGGAAATCTCTGCAGACTGTTTAGACAATAAAATACTAGTATTTAAAGGTTTTCCTATATTATTTTTGACAGAACCACAAGTCAAAAACAATAAAATTCAGACCTCGCATCCAATATTTCTTGTTGTGTACACTTAAATTTATAGTAGCCTCATCTTTTTTATTTAGGTTTATTCAACAGATCTTAAAGTGACTGTTCAGGTCATTTAAAGTGGGGTAAAGGTTATGAACTATTAATATCTCACATATAACAGGTAAGTCTTTGAACAACTTCTGTTGAGAGAAACTGAATTTAACTGTGACCATTAATTAGCTGACTAGTCCAGGCAAACCAAAGTAGATTGCTGCCATTTTAAAACAATTCAAATAAAAAAAATTCGGAATAGTTCAAATAGATGTTTTATGAACCATTACACCCTTATCCGTTTAGTATTTCATGGTTATTCTGGCAGAGTCACTAGGTTTTTTTGTAGGAAGTACCCCTGGCCACACAGAAAATGCTACAGCTAGCTGCTTTTGCCACATTTAGTACATAACTGGTAATGGTCTAAAGGGGTCAACATAAACCACCACAAGACTTTGGTCTTGGCCCAGCTAGGAATAATTGTTAGCGCTAGTCAAAGGTAAACTTTATTTCTTTACAAACAAGGCACACATTTCAAGTTCAAGGCCCGCAGGCCAAATGTGGTCCGTCGCTGCATTTTATGTGGGTCATGACAGCTTTAGTCTTTTAAAGCTTCAAAGACATATAATGTCAAAATAAGAGTATGCTTCTTTTAAACCAGTATTGAGCATAAACTACATCTCCCACAATGCATGTTGATTATTTCACCTGTAAAGGGATGGTATCCCACCAGTAGGTGGAGCAGCATGGGGTTCAAAAGTAGCCGGCAGCCGGGCGACATTTGCCGAGGCCCAGTTGTACTGGGAAGTGATCATTTCCCACTTACCAGTCAATAATTTGAACTAGAACACCCCTTCTGTTCAGAATTCAAGATGGCAGCTCCTCACCGTAACTCAACAGTAGCCATGTTTCAATCAACTTGGTTGATCTGAAAAAAATGTCCTCAATTTAGCAAAAGAAGTGATTATGTTTGCTTGACAGTATTTTCACACTCACTATTTGTGTGGTCTCTGCTAGTTTGCAGCCTCCACTTCCTGTTTATTAAAGGCATGCATTACATTAACGTCTGTTTTCATTACAATTGGATAGAAACTCTTTTACTTTTACTAGTATTTCTGTACTCTTTATTTCACATTTAGTCAGTTGAACACAGTACTTTTCCGTGTTTTTAAGAGGACACGTTGAAATGCAGTTTCTATGCAGAAATACCACGTAGAGCTCAGTTATTGTTTGTTAGTGGTGCTCAGCTATAGCAATGAGAGGAGAAATGTGATGTTTCCTCTTTGATTTAAGTTAACCACAAAACATTGAAGTTAATTATAGCATGTCCTTTGAGGGCCACCATAACACTCATGTGGCCTTCGATGAAAATGAGTTGGACACCCATGATGTAAGGTGGTAATTGTTCCCAATATTTTCACAGAAACCATCTACAGAATTGACCCAAACTATCACTTTAAAAAGTTGCGTGTGACGACTTTTCCGGCATTTAACAGCCAATGAGTCATCATTTTTGCCGCCCTTTTGTGCCCCTTGTTTTCCCAAACTGTCAGACTTCATCTTCGTTTCTGCTGTCCTGATGTCCTTTAACACATTGGATGGACTAAATCTACGCCTACGTCTGATTTCTTGTGCCACAGTCTCGATCAAGCACGAGCTTGATGCAACGGGAAGTGTTTGAGGGAGTTTAACCAGAGTAAGTCCCCCCAATTACTGCTTAAAGCCTCCTCCTGTCTGAATGTTTTGTAACATTGTTAGACGGATTAGGACTACAGAATAATCACGCACAAACATATAAGTAGTGTCAGGCTTCTGTGTTGTGTTCCTTTGCTGCGAAAGAGGTTTCCTTTTCCTTCAGTCAAACAGAAAAATGGCCCTACCACAGCTCTTTGTGGGTTTTACGTTTTTTATTTTTTTGTCTCGCAGGTGGGGTCTGCTTTCAAACCTTTATCCTGTTTTGAACTTTTAACAAACAGTTAATAGCATAGACAGGTAGCCATCTAGCCCACAAACATGAGTATGCCTTTGTCACAGTAATAAAGTTTGAATAGTCTTTCTCTAATCGGTTTATCTAAGCCGCACGCATAAAGCATTATGTGGAAGTAAAGAGTCAGACTTCAGCTGAGGAGATACAGGTGCCCTGAAGCTAATCTGTCAGCTACAATGGATATTTCACAATACAGTATCTAGAATCACAGCCCTCAGCGTGCCCCGGAGTCTGTAAAGGCATTTTATTTGCACTCTCCAGCCACTCCCAATACTTAAACATTAAACACCAAGGCTA